GTCTGTCTGTCCGTTCCTGGTGAGGTTAACGGGCTGGGAGTGGGGGCTGCCATCTGATAAATGCCCCCAGTTGTGTGTGTCTGTTTGTCTGTCTGTCCGTTCCTGGTGAGGTTAACGGGCTGGGAGTGGGGGCTGCCATCTGATAAATGCCCCCAGTTGTGTGTGTCCGTTTGTCTGTCTGTCCGTTCCTGGTGAGGTTGACGGCTGGGAGTGGGGGCTGCCAGGGCAGGGGTCCCAGCTGGATAAGCAGGCAGGCTTTGTGTGTGCTGCACAAAGCCCAGCCCTGCTGAGCCTCCCCAGGCCCAGCGCTCTGTGCTGCCCCAGGGGCAGAAGGGAGCTGTGGAAGCTCAGGAGCACAGGGCTGATGAGGAGCAGCTGAGGGAGCTGGGAAGGGGCTCAGCCTGGACAAAAGGAGGCTCAGGGGGGACCTTGTGGCTCTGCACAGCTCCTGACAGGAGGTTGGAGGCAAGTGAGTGGGAGCCAGCCTCTTTTCCTGAGTTACAAGTGCCAGGACAAGAGGAAATGTCCTCACGTTGCACAAGGGAAGGTTCAGGTTGGACATGAGGGAAAATTCCTTCCTTGAAAGGGTTGTCCGGCCCTGTCCTAGGCTGCCCAGGGTAACAGTGCAGTCACCATTGCTGGAGGGATTTAAAACTGTGCAGATGTGGCACCTGAGGATATTGCTTAGTGGTGGCCTTGGCAGTGCTGGGGAACAGTTGGGTTCGATGATTTTGGGCGGCTTTTCCCACCTAGATGATTCCATGAGTCTTTGCAGATACCTTTATGGGAGCCAGGCTGGTGGCTCTGGTGCCACAGGTGCCTCTCCACCCACTGTGCTGCCTCTACTCCCTCTGCTTTTTACCTTCCCTGTATGTCCAGATCAAAGGTGTTCAATTTCTATCAAACTGCCCAGAGCAGCCTCAATAATTTTGGGGATTGCTGGCCTCTGTGTGACTGGCTTTTCACATAAAACAGATGCTCTTGTGGTGGTGGCAGACAGGGGATGGATTTTCACCTGTAGCAGGAGGAATGAGCTACATTATTTTCTGTCCTAGGAGGAATTGCTAGGCCAGCCACAACAAGCACTTTGATTGCAAATGTTTGTCCCAGGCATGGAAATAGAAACACTCCAGACTTTCCTTTTGTTCCCTTCAGATGGTTGTTTGCTCAGGAGTTTTGTTCTGAATCAGGGAAGATATTTGAACTAATAATGGCACTTTTGGCTGAGATACAGATACATGCATTCTATATATAAAATACGTGTTTATATATAAAATAAACACACGGTAGTTTATACATACATATAAATACATCTATAAAATTCATGTAGGAAGTAATTCCACACATGGGAGGCAGGAGCTCTGTGGGAGCAGAGCCAGGAGCCCCTGTGGCACCCACAGGAGCTCCAACCACACTGGAACATTTACTGTTCCCTGCTTCCCCTGCACTGAACCTTGGCTACCAATTACCCCGTATTAAATTGTGTTTGGTCATGGCAGTGATTACCCAGTATCCAGGCAACCCGGGCATAATCTAATTTAACACCCAACGTGGATTTACTCCGCTGCTGCTCTCCTTTGTTTTGCTGGAAGGGAGTGAGAAGTGAGTGGTGTGCAGGGACACCCTGGGCATGGCCTGGGGACGGATGGTGCTCCATGGGCTGGGCAGGGCCCTGTCCCAGTGACACCAGCTGGGTGCTGCCAGCGCCCAGCACTGCCTGGGGATGGATGGTGCTGCCTGGGCTGGGTGTCCCCAGGCATGGCAGGGCTCTGTCCCAGTGACACCAGCTGGGTCAGATCTTGGTGGAGCTGCTGGCTGGGGAGGCAGTGCTGGGCACAGAACTTCCCCTGACCCCAAGATCAAAGGGGCTCTGCCTGTCCCATACCCCCAGGCTGATCTCCCCTGATCCCCAGGGCACCACCCTGTGCTGCCAGGAGAAGGAGCAGCCCAGAGTCCCAAAGCCACTGTGAGCAGGAGGGAAGTGAGGAGGTTCTGCTCATTCCTCCATCAGTTGTTGCTTTCTCCTGTGCTGGAGGTCCTCCTGTAAAGTGGGGAGCAGAAAAAGGACCCGTAGAAATCAATGATAGTGCATCAAGGGCTGGAAGGAAACAGCAGGTTAAAAGGAAAATACAGTGCCTGCTTGGAAAACTTGTAAAGAGCAGCTCAGGAATGGCACTGACAGTCCCTGCTGAACAGCCCCAGCATTAAGCCCACTTTGGGCTGAGAACAGCCATCTTTAGAAACTGCAGCGTTATTTCCTAGTACAAAGGATGATGAGGAGCTATAATTTAGAGTGAATTATCCTGTGGGTAATGGATGGGGAATTTGAAGGATGTGAAAGGTGAATCATGTTTTGGAGCACGGCTGTGCTGACCTGGTACAGGGATGGCTATTGCTGGAAAAGTACCCGGGCTGCAGAGCAGGAGTTGGTGTGGCCCTGAGGTTTGTTCCAGAAAGGAGCTGGGTTGCACAGCTGCAGGACAGCTCCAGAGGCAGAGCAAAGCTCCCTGAGCAGGGGGTGGTGCTGGAGGTGGTGCTGCAGCACCCGTGGGTGAGCGGGCAGCCCTGGGCTGCTGCTGTGGGACCATGTCCTGCCTGGGGAGCCATTAATAGCCCGGTCTGAAATAATTGCCAGGACCACGCTCAGCTGCCTCCCTGTAATGAGCTGATGACAGTGCAATTTATTAGAGTGATGTAGGACATGGTAACGGTAATGAGAAATGGAGGCACCTAATTTTGTGCGACTTAGATCAATTCAGTTGTTTTTTTTATAAATGAACATTGTTTTACTAACCACAGAAGATCATTAAAATTATTATTTTATTAATGCTTCTGAAAGCCATTTGGACTGCAGCTGCGTTTTTCCCTATCCAATTAGGAGCATGTGAATGTGTGTCTGAAATGCAATTTTGCAATGCAAAACTGTCATTGGGGTTTGTGAGTGGTGTGGGTGGGAGTGGGGGGTGGGTTTGTATTATTTAGTATTATTTATTATTTGTATTATTTAGTATTTAAGTATTATTCAGTAGAAATTGCTTGTTATTGAACCTGTTCTGCCTCCATGAAGCTGTGACTCCCTCAGGAGAGTTTGTTTCCCCTCCCAGCTCAGCAGTGCTGGCATGGCCATGAGCAGCTGGGTGAGCTCTTGGCTGTGGTGAGGATGAGGATGGGGATGGGGATGGGGAGAGGCTCTGTGCCTGCCCAGGGGTGGGGATGGCCAGCCTGGCTGGGTGTGAGCAGCATGTTCCCCAGGGGTGAAATTGCACCAGTGTGAGGCTCCTTGCCCAGGCAGTGGGTAGGGCTGGTGCTGCTGCTGGGGAAGCTAAACCAGCAGCCCTGAGCCCCCCTGTGATGTGCCCTGCCTGAGGAACTGTATGTAGGGATGAGTTCTTTGCTGGTTCAGGTGAGATTGGGATGGAAAAGGATGGAAAGCATCTTTTGTTTTTAGCCAGCCTGGGCTTGCAGTGTGCTGAAATATGCTGAGCTTGCACACAAATGTCTTGACCCCAAGATCAATGTTAGAAACTCATGGTTGTAAATATTAGGGTCAGTCCAGCAAGGGAGTGTGAGCCTCACTGTGTGCTGGCCTGCTGCATTTGTCCAGGGAAACGAGAGAGGAAGAGAAAGAAAAGACACTAAAACTCCCTCAGGCTACAACTGTGTGAGCACACAGCCTGAAGCCACCACATTTCCTGGTTGAAGAGGTCAGGAGCAAACCACAAGAAAGACTCCTGGGGCTGCAGGACTGCACTGCAGGTCATGGCACACACCACACACGTGTCCCTCTGTGACTCAGCAGTGCCCAGGGGCACACAGGTGTGACTCAGCAGTGCCCAGGGGCACACAGGTGTCCCAGCAGTGCCCAGGGGCACACAGGTGTGACTCAGCAGTGCCCAGGGGCACACAGGTGTCCCAGCAGTGCCCAGGAGGCACACAGGTGTCCCTATGTGACTCAGCAGTGCCCAGGAGGCAAACAGGTGTCCCAGCAGTGCCCAGGGGCACACAGGTGTGACCCAGCAGTGCCCAGGAGGCACACAGGTGTCCCAGCAGTGCCCAGGGGCACACAGGTGTGTCCCAGCAGTGCCCAGGGGCACACAGGTGTCCCAGCAGTGCCCAGGAGGCACACAGGTGTCCCAGCAGTGCCCAGGGGCACACAGGTGTGACCCAGCAGTGCCCAGGGGCACACAGGTGTCCCAGCAGTGCCCAGGAGGCACACAGGTGTCCCAGCAGTGGGATGCCTGCCTGTGTCCCTGTTGCTGTGTCCCCTCGGGTGAGGCAGAGCACAGGACGTGCCCCATTAGGGCTGCTGGGGCTTTGCCCCTCTCAGACCAGGTGCCAGCTGCAGCTGCTCCAGGGTAACCCCTCAAACACCACGAGCAGGGTGCCCCATCCTCAGCGTGAGCTGCTTCATTTGCTGAGCTGCTCTGAGCCCTCCTGTGAGCTGAAGGAGGTGGAGGTGGTGAGGAGGAAGGCTTGGGTGTCCCTGGGTCCCCGTCTTGTGCCAGGAGAGGGGAACACGTGGGGATCTGGGGGCAAAGCCCCATCTTGGCCTTCCAGCAGCCTGGCTGGGCCAGAGGGGACTGACCTCTGGTGTTGGAATGGCTGGGAAGGAATTGGCCTTTGGAACATATGAGGTCACTCATTGAGTTGGAGAGCAGCATGTGTCAGAGGTCCAACAATTTGTTTTCAGAAGGGTTTCAAGCATTAATGATTCAAGATGTTTTCCTGGGAGGGGTTTGCAGCAGGAGGCTCAGTGGCTGGCGCGGGACTGAGGTTTTATGGGATTAGTCAGTTCATGGGGGCTGAGAGGTCCCCAGGAACACAACAGTTAAATTTGTACTTTTCCACATGGCTGAGCCTTCAAGGAGCTCACCAGGAGCGTGAAAAATGTAAACAGGGTTGTGAGCCTTGTGCCAGCCACGAGGCAGGGAGGGCAGGGAGGGGGTTCCCTGTGGATTAGTTCCATCACCTACTTCATTCTCTTTCTCTTTTTTTCCCAGAGTTGCAGATAATCACAAGCAGAACCTGATGACTGTTGCTAATCTGGGTGTGGTGTTTGGGCCGACGCTGCTTCGACCTCAAGAGGAAACTGTGGCTGCCATTATGGACATCAAATTCCAGAACATTGTGATTGAGATTTTAATAGAGAACCACGAGAAGGTAATGGCTGCCCTTGCTTCTTCCATGTCAGTGGTTTATGGACAGGAATTGGTCTCTCTTTGCCCATGGCAGCCCCCTCTCTCCCCATGGCCAGTGGCACCACGATGGGGCTGTGCTGGGGAGGGGGCAGCTGGCATTCTTGGGCTGTGGCTGTGTAACCACTGCTGCTGGTAGCCAGCCTTGTTTATGGTCATCCCTGTGTGTCAGCATGGCTGTGATTCCATCACAGAAATTCCCTTTCTCCCCCTTCCCACTGTTTAATGGGAATTTGTCCTTGGTGTCAAGAGAGATGAGTGCTAAACCAAACCAGTGAGATGCACACCTCAGCTGGCTCCTGCTTTGCTGACTAAATCCAGGTTTATCCAGTACTGGCTTTATCCACAGTGTTGATCTGAATCCTGATGCATTTGTGTTTGCTGGCCATGGATGTTGGGGTCTGCAGTGGTGGCTCGGTGGGGCTGAGGTTCTGGCCAGCCCTCCCTGGCTACATGTGCTTTTTAAAAAATACCATTTTCTTCTAAATGCAGCCAGTTCCCTGATTATGATCTTTTGTTGGTCGGGTTTGGATTGGAAAGGAGGAACGGATCTGCGCATTTGGGCAGCGAAGGCAGAAGTAGAAAGCAGCTTGGCCTGGCTGGGGTGGCATCACGGCTCCAAGTCCACATCAGTTCTGTCTTGAGCAGAGAGCTGTGCCGACGTGTGCTTCTCCTGTGGGGAAAGCCTGGCTGTGCCAGCTGTCTGTCCGGCAGGGGCAGGAGAGCAGGAAGGACACTGAGGAATGGGTTTAATGGACTCCCAGCAATGGAGAGAGGCTTTGGGAGAGCTGGTCTGGAGGGGTCACTGCCCTTCTCTGAGCCTGCGGGGTCTAGAAAAGGAGCAGTACAAAACCAAATAACAGCAACCAGCAAGGCTGCTGCCCTTTGGGCTCATGCAGTTTTAAAATTTCATCCCCTTGAGAAAAATGTGATTACTCAGTTTTCTGACAGCTGTAGCTGGAAGTTGCAAAGACTTTCCCAAGCTGGCCTGCAGCCGTGGGAGCGTGGGCGCCGGGGTCACGCAGTGGGGGCGCAGGGGGGACACTGCTGGTCTGTCTGGGCTGCCCATCATCACCTGCACCCCCAAAAGTCAGCAGAGTGCCAGAGTTCTTCACTGTTTGCAGTGTACCTCTTAGGCGAAAAAAAGAGGAGTGCAGGCAGACTGAAAACATGGAATTTAGCAATCTGTCCCCAAAACGTTGCCCTGTTGAGTGCGTGTCCTCCTCAGAGGCTGCGCTGCCAGGCAGGTGGGCAGCTGTCCCGTTCCACAGGGTGATGCCAAAGAACAACTTGTTTATTGTTTCTGACAGATATTTAACACGGTGCCAGAGGCTCCGGCGTCGAACTCGCAGCTGCTGTTATCGCGCAAGAAGAGCACGGAGTCGAAGCCTCCCTCGTGCAGCGAGCGCCCGCTGACGCTGTTCCACACGGCCCAGCCCAACGAGAAGCGTGAGTGCCTCCCTGCCTGCCTCCAGCTGTGCCCTAGCCGTGCCTCACAGACTGCCATCGCCCCGGCATCCCCCTGGCATCCCCTGCCATCCCCTGCCGTCCCCCTGCCATCCCCTGCCATTCCCCTGCAGTTTTCCCGCTGTCAGTGGAAGGGCTGATTCCATAACAGGGCCAGGCTTTGGTTTCCTCTGCTGTCGTGTTGGTGGGGAGTGGAATCTCTCCTGGCATCCAAGCCCTTAACTGGGGCTCTGCATGAGGCTGCCTTAGCACAGGATAAAGTGTTGCTGTCCCCTCCCCACCTGACGGGCCCCTGCGTGTCCCCTTCTCATGTTCCTGGGCCCGTCATCGCTGCCATCAGCTGCCAGGACGCGGTGCCACACCTGTGGCAAGGGCAGCCACCACAGGGCGGCCCTTTTGGGATGCCCTCGGGCACTTTGCCTTTTACAGACAGGAAAACTCGGCCAGGAGGTTCGGCATTTTCCTGAGGATTATGTACCGTGGCAGTTCAAAAATGTTGGAGCTCATCTTTCCATTTCTGTCACTAATTGATGCTCCAGATATGTGGGTGAAAGAGCCAAGGCCCCAGCCCTGCTCATGGGGTGGCAGAAATGTGTCTGCTCAGGCTGTTGTTTCATGTTACAGAGTAAACCCAGTTCCCAGCTCTCTGGTCCTTCCTGCCGTGTGCTCCTGGAGCCAGGCAGCTGCACACAGGGAGCTCTCCCAGTTTGGTAAAAAAGCGGGAGAGACTCCTGGTGAGCAGGACAGCACAAGTGGAGCAGGGCAGGGGATGGGCAGCTCCCCAGGGCGCACAGAGTGGCTGCTGTGGGCTTTGCTGACTCCCCAGACACGTGGGTTTGTCTGATTAGGTTACTGTTAACTAGCAGGCACTCTCCTTTCGGAAAGATCCGCGTGGGTTTGAGGAAGCAGAGGTGCCCCGAGCGTGCTCTGGAAATGGTGTGGGACGACTCTCGGTGAAGCCTCAAATATCAAACGCTGCTTTTGAAAACTTTCAGCCCAAGTAATTTATCTGCTGCTAACTAAGCAGTGGCCTGTCAGCCTCCAGGCTCTCCATGTGCCATCCTCCCCATGCCTGGAGAGGAACTGAGCTCATCTCTCTATTTCTGCATTTATTTATTCCCATGTGAAACAACATTTTCTTGGTGTTCCTCCTGACAGTCTATAACCTCCTGTATCTTTGGGAAGCCACTACTGTTTTGTTTGCCTTCCCTGCTGCACATCACGAGAAATATGTGAGGTTTCCTTTCTTCTTCTTTTCTTCTTCCTTTCCTTTCTCACTGGTCTGGAGAGAGACCCAGGCTCTGAAGTCAGGGTGAAGCACAAGGGCTTAGGCAGCAGCTCAAGCCCAGCTGAGCAGCACAGAAATTGAAAGTTGAAATTGAAGCTAGAAATGTTCTAAATTTTAAGACTGGGAGCAGTTTGACATAAAAAGAAGTGGAGTGGGACAGTGGATTTTCCATCACTTGAAACCTGTTCATCCAAGTCCAGTATCTTTCTATTTTCACTAGGATTCATCATACCAAGCTGTGTCTAATTAAAAAACTATCATGTTCAGCACAACAGGGAGCAGATTAGATAATCATGATTAATCTATGATTCTAGTGATTATTTTGTTGTTAAACATTTACATTTTTATCCACATCTGACCCAGGGAGTAGCTCTTGTGACACGAGTGTCACCAACACAGCAAACACCATTTCCTTATCAGTTCTTTTGTCATCCCCTCTCTGCTCCCTGGGGTCACTGTCACCAAGGTGCCCTGGATCAGTTGTCAGGGTTCCTGGAGACAAAGCCTCTGGGGAGGCTCCGGTGGCTCTGCCTGCCGGACTTCCCATTAGAGACAGGAAGGTTGGGTAAGGGGTGAAAGGCTCTTTTCTCTGCAGGCTGGAAATGCTCCTGAGCTGATGGGCAGCTCTGCTCCTGCAGCTGTAAGACCAAATCAAATCTTCCAGCTAAGAATCCTTCACATGAGCTTTCAGAAGCATGAAGCAAGGTACAGTTCCAGCCTTTTAACAAGAAGGAAATAAAATGAAGCAGGAGTTTCAGATTCTGCCATTCATCCCCCTGAGCTGATTCACTCCCAGCTCTGTGGCTGACAAGGACTCCACTCTTGGCTGGTGGCTGCTCTGGAGATTAGAGGGACAATCCACACTGAGCTGCCAAGCTTATGGAGCTTATTCCCAGCCTCCAGCCTTGGGCAGAAGATGTTTGCAAATAATGAGCTGGTGTCAGTGCACGCTCCAGGGGCTCAGCTCAGCTCCTCAGGCTCAGCACAGGCAGTTCCTGACCTTGCCCAGCTGTGTACAGGTGGCCTCTCGTGGGCTGCCTAAAACTTCCTCTGGCACATGCAAAAGCAGAGGAATTTGAGGTTTTTAAGTCCTTAGACAACTTAATTTCGTTGTTTCTTCATCTGCTGGCTATCACATCTGCCTGTCAGTATTTGTGTGGAGGTCAGTACTCTGCTTTTCTTCACTTTTCCCTCTTAGTCTTCTGCATGGATCATCTTTTTTATCCCAGGGTGCTGGTGCCCTGAGGGTTGAACTTTTGCAGAGCTGGGGACAGAGAAATGTCTGTGCTGCTTGTTCCCATGGTGGCTCATTGCAGATGGAGATTAATGAAATCCACTTTCAGAACACGTTGACATGTATCAGTGTCACCCATCCTTGGCTCACCTCTGGAAGAGAAGCTCAACCTGAGCTAAACCAAGGCCTGTCCTGCTGCCCTGCAGGTGCTCATTCTGCCCAGGTACCTGGGAAATGCAGCAGCTCCAGGGCTGATGCGGCATTTCCCTTTGGGGTGATGGCAGAGCTGCACCAGCACCCCAAGACAACCCTCCTGCCAGGCTGTTTTATGGCAGTTCCTCTCTGCTGTGTGCTCAGGATTAACCTTTCACACCACCCAGGAGTTCCTCTTGCACTCCTTTACCCCCTTTATATGCGCACAGGATACAAATTAATATTGCACATTCTCCTCACTCAAAAAGAGGTGGAATTTAAAGAGATTGGGAACAAGGATTCCCTCTCACTACATGCTTTTGGGCTGTGGTTTGACCATGTTATTGTGCACCACAAAAATAATTTTGGAAAGAGGTATCCTTGCAGTAGGACTGTGTGTTTTCCAGCTGGTGCCTTCTTTCAGGAAAGCAGCATCCCAGAAGCAGCCACTCTCTGCCCAGGGCTGCTCTCGTGCCATCAGCGTTGCTAATTGCTTCTCACAAGTGCAATTACTGCTCCAGTGGCAAAGGCAGCTCCTGGAAATGAGTTAATGGGATTTTGGGTGGCCTGGCAGAGCTGAGGAGGGGGCCTGGGCTCGGTGGCTCTTTGAGATGCACAGTGCTGTCAGTGCTCACTGCATCTGGAACCCAAAGGAGCCAAAGAGCACCTGGTATTTCTTGTGGTTTAATGTGTAATGTGTCTGTAACTAACCGAGCTCTGGGGACACGTCCCTGTTTGCACTGGCACAGGCTTTCCTGGGAATGCTCAATGCCTTCCCAGCCATTTGCTCTTCACTTTGGCTGCAGTGGCAGCTGATGATTCTTGGGTTTTGGTGTTTTTTAGAGGAGAATAGGAACAGCATCATCAACTCCAGCCTGGAATCTGTCGTCTCTTCAAATGCAAACAGCTTCCTCAACTCCAACAGCGCTCCCCAGCCCAGCCTGAACTCGAGTGATCTTGAACTAGAAGTGATTAAGCCCAACAGGCCAAATTCCCTGTAAGTACAATGGTAATTAGTGTTTTATAGACTCTCCGTCCTTAATACTTAATCAGAATTGTTTCTTATTCTCAACTTCAGCAGTCTGCTGAAGAACACAATTTAACATTTGAATTTTTAATGGGCACCAAACATTTACCTCTGTTTTTAACTCGATCTAAGCAGTGGAATTAGTTACTGCCATGGGTTCCAGCTCTGATGGTTTTGCCCATGTGGAATATTTTTGAGCAGAACTCCCCAGTGCTGCCCGGCCCATCTGGTGATAAATCCAACACACACAAAGGACTTTTCTTCTGAGTTCAATCCTGTGACTGTTGTCAGTACAGTTGATCTCCGGCCAAATCTGTGCTGTTGCTTCTGCTATTGCTTCCTTCATCTGGAAAGTTCAAGGGAAAAAGCAGTGACCTTAGCCGTGCCTCCCTGGGGAGGGCCGGGTTATTTCTGAGTCCCTGAAGCTGCCGCGGCGGAGCCCTGGCCGTGGCGGCTCCGCTGGGGGAATTTCCTTCCTGCCAGCCCCGGCCAGCCCCGCAGCACTTTCCCACAGCGGCTCCCCTCCCCACCACGTGAGGATCTGCTCACATCTCCAGGAGATGCAGCCTGTTCCCCTGGAGCTCCGGGCACGCCCTGTGCATCCCCGGGATGGGCGGCGGGAGCACTGCTCCCCTTCCAGAGCAGGACACTGTCCCTGTTCCCCTCCCATTGCAGGGACACCGTCCTTGCCATCTCTCCCATTGCAGGGACACCGTCCTTGCTGCCTTCCCATTGCAGGGACACCGTCCTTGCTGCCCTCCCATTGCAGGGACACCGTCCTTGCTCCCCTCCCAGAGCAGGACACTGTCCCTGTTCCCCTCCCAGAGCAGGGACACTGTCCTTGTCACCCCTCCCAGAGCAGGGACACCGTCCTTGCTGCCTTCCCATTGCAGGGACACCATCCTTGCCATCTCTCCCATTGCAGGGACACCGTCCTTGCTCCCCTCCCAGAGCAGGGACACCATCCTTGCCACCCCTCCGAGTGCAGGACACTGTCCTTGTTCCCCTCCTAGTGCAGGGACACCGTCCTTGCTGCCCTCCCATTGCAGGGACACCGTCCTTGCCATCTCTCCCATTGCAGGGACACCGTCCTTGCTGCCCTCCCATTGCAGGGACACTGTCCTTGCTCCCCCCTCAGTGCAGGGACACTGTCCTTGCTCCCCTCCCAGTGCAGGGACACTGTCCTTGCCATCTCTTCCATTGCAGGGACACTGTCCTTGCCATCTCTCCCAGTGCAGGGACACCGTCCTTGCTCCCCTTCCAGAGCAGGGACACTGTCCTTGCTATCTCTTCCATTGCAGGGACACCGTCCTTGCCATCTCTCCCAGTGCAGGGACACTGTCCTTGCTCCCCCCTCAGTGCAGGGACACTGTCCTTGCTCCCCTCCCAGAGCAGGGACACTGTCCCTGACACCCCTCCAGAGCAGGGACACCATCCTTGCCATCTCTCCCAGTGCAGGGACACCGTCCTTGCCATCTCTCCCAGAGCAGGACACTGTCCTTGCCACCCCTCCCGTAGTCCCTGATGCTCCCAGTCCCCACTGGGCCACAGGAGCTGTGGCATGGTGAGCTGTTCCCTTGGCTGGGTTGGGTTTGGGTGCAGCTCTCTCTCTGGCATTCAGGATGGCTCCAGGCCCTGCCAGGCTCTCCAGGCAGGAAGGTAAGTGTGGAACAGACACAGGCTTCATCCAGCTTCACCATCTGCTCTGCTTCCATCATCCTCCTCCTGCCACAAAACCCTGAGCTGCAGCAGCCCCGCAGTGGCCTGTCCTCACCCAGGGATGCCCAACCCTGTGCCGTACCGGCTCCATGGGGATCATCCCACAGCAGGACAGACCTCCCAAAGGTAGGACACCTCCAAATCGAGGCTGTGCTGTACATATGATACATACAGAGCAAAGATGCTTCTCTCTCTCGTGCCTGGTTGAAGCTCTGCAGTCAGTCACATCCCATTCCCCAACAGGATGGCTTTAGTTTATCCTTCAAGGGGGAAAAGATGGTGTGTCTTGTCACAGAATGAGGTTTGTGAGCCTGGGTCTTGCTGAGACCTTACAAGGATTGGCTGCCAAATTCACACTTTAGATTCTAAGAGTTGTCTCTTCCTGATGATTTCTTTCTTAGGGGAAGTTGCAGAGGAATTCAGCAGCATAAGTGAGTTAAAGCTGTGTGGGGCTCTGGGGAGCGGAGGCACCGTGCTGTTCCCCAGGGATTAGGTGAGCAGGCTGGCACTCAACCAGGTGCTTGTGCCAGCTCCAGAGCCTTGAGTTCTATGAGCTGAAACAGGGCTGAACAGGACAGCACTGGCAGCTTGTGGCTCTGACACTGCTGGTGGCATTTGGTGCTTTTCCACAAGCCCAGTGATTGTGAGATAATTTCTGCACATTCAGGAGCACACAGGGTTTTGGTCTGTGTGTAGCTGAAGTTTGAAATATGGATCCTCAGGGGGCTAACACAGGGCAGATATTCTCTGTGACCCCAAATATTTAAATCAAATGTCTTTAATCCAGTCTTTCAATGAAGCAGCTAACTTGATTTTATTCTAAGTGTGTGTGGCTGTCGCTCCCCTGGCTTGCCCAGGAGCAGGGGCTGTGTTTGTGAGAGCTCCAGGGGGTTCTGCCCTCAGTGGGGCTGGCTTTGGTGAGGATGAGGAGGGTGAGGAGGCTGCCAGCAGCGGGTCAGTGCCCAGCCCTGCCCTGTGTTTGCAGGCTGGGCCAGGGCAGGGCGTCTGAATGGTGCCAGTGTCCGGGAGCTCCGGCCCTGCTGCGCGGGCTGCCCGAATCCTGTGTCCATAAAGCCACTTCTGTTTGGCCAGGCAGCTGAGAAATGTGGCTCTGCAGGCAGCCCCGGGCAGTCCCGCACTGTGCCCTGGGCTGGGGCAGCTGCTGCTGCTGTGCTGGGGTTCTGGGGCTGCCCTGGATTCACCTGCCCACATTTAGGGTCTGTGGCCGTGAGAGGGTCTGCAGCTGCCTCGGGGTTTGTGCTGCTTCAAATGCTGCCAGATCCTCTGCTGGTCCTGTGACACCCATCCCTGAGCTCTGCTTCAGGACTTTGGGGTTTTCCTTGTGTTCCTCACAGTTTTCTGTGATTTTTAGCTGTGGACCAGGGCTGCAGTGCTGGGGAGCTGTTCAGGAGGGGATCTCTCCTGGCAGCCCCCACGAGCCCATCGGGAGCCTGTGCCCACCCAAACTGGGAAGCTGCAGGGAAAGGAGTTGGGGCATTCTGATGATATTTTGATTCAGAATATCCTACTGACATTCCTGTAGAAATAACTCCTGTGGATTTCAGAGGGAGGCTCCTTGGAGTGCAAATGTTGAGGCTGCAGGCCTAGGGCATTTCTTGTGGCTGTGAGCACTGATGTGTCCGAGGTGGCCTTTAAATGTGCCAGCTGTAAATTGTGAGCACCATCTGTGAAATGAGAGATGTTTGTTTGAGCTTCTGTTTGCAAAAGCCCTTGGCTCCCTGCTAAATGCTCATGTGTCCCCCAGGTCTGCTCTGCCAGGGGCTGGGCCAGCTCCTAAATCCCCCTGGTGAGTGAGTGCCGCTCCTTCCCAGCTGCTGCAGCAGTGGCTGTGCTGGGCTGGGGTCCCCCCACCTCGGTGCTGGTCCCCCTGTCCCCCTCCCCAGGGAAATGGGCTCCTTCTGAAGTGCTTTCCCTGGAGCACAGGCCACAGTCTCCAATCCAGAGGGAAATTGTTTTGCTGCCGGGCTCAGGCTCTTCCTTCCCAGCCACCAATCGGGCTTTTACGATGGGAATGCATTTATTTATTAGGGCTGGGTTTATTTTTATGGAAAAACTGCTCTGGGCAGGAGTTGTACTGGGTGAGTCAGCAGGACTGCTGTCCCGTGCCAGGAGCTGTCACTGTGCCTGCAGCTGCCAGGCCACCAGAGCCTGGGCAGGGGTGGTGCCCAAAGCACTGCTGGGTCTCACAGCAGGTTTGTGTGTCCCGTTGGTTTGTGTGTCCCGTTGGGTGTCTTTGTCCTGCCCTGCAGAGAGCATCTTCCTGGGGAAAAGCCAAGCATGAAGCAGAAAGCAGTGTGCCTCTGGCAGAGATGTGTCCTTAGCTGAGCCAGGGGAAGGACAAGGGAATGGCTTCATACTGATAGAGAGGGTTGGATGGGGTATGGGGGAGGAATTGTTCCCTGGCAGGGTGGGCAGGCCCTGGCACAGGTGCCCAGAGCAGCTGGGGCTGCCGCATCCCTGAGAGTGCCCAAGGCCAGGCTGCTCAGGGCGTGGAGTGACCTGGGACAGTGGGAGGTGTCCCTGCCTGTGTCAGGGGTGGCACTGGGTGGTTCCAAAGGAGATAGAACCAGTTTAACACCCTTCCCATGTTCATTAGTGCCTCCAGGCCTGCCAGTGTTCCCAGTGCTGGTGCCCATCCTCAGCCCAGGCACTGCTGGAGATGGGGCCATGGGCCAGGCTGAGCCCCCACACTGCCAGCCTGGCCCAGGCTGATGCTGCCCCTCCTTCACCCCAGGGACTTGGCATTTAGGGAAATAATAACCTTGGGAAACTCAGATTTAGTCAGTGCATGTCTATTTGCATTTAATTTCATTTCCTCACTGACCAAGTATGGCTATTTCTTGCCCTCTGTGGGTATGGAAAGAAATGAGGAGCAGATCTAAGGTCTAGTGGTCATGAAAAAATAACCCAGTTACTCCAAGGAAGAGTGGTTATTCCCACATAAATAAATCTTCATTAGGCATCCCAGTTAAAACTGAACATCTCTCTTTCCATGACTTATAATGAGAGAAATTTCAACCATTACTGTCTCTATCAGGGACTTCTCCAGGTGGCTGGGAGGGAGCTGTGTGGTAGGGGGACAGGGGACGGCACACCGGAGCTGTGGGGCTGGGGTGATGGTGCACCTTCCTCCCATTGCTCCGTTCCTGTGCTCTGCTCTGGAGGCCCTCAGCATCCCAGAATCATGGAACACGCACTGCTTTGGCTTGGGATGGCCTTCAAGCTCCTTC